ATAGTTCTCCATATTCTAGATACATACACCTTACCATATACATGATTTACATACATGTTCTCCCATTCTGTGGATGTCTTCCCTTTCTTGATGGTATCCTTTACAGCACAAGTTTTGAATTTTGGTGAAATCCAATTTATCTATTTTTTTATTTTTGGTTTTGGTGTCATCATCTAAGAAATCATAGTCTAGCCAAGGTCATGAAGAATTATTCTTTTATTCTAAGCAATTTACAGTTTTTGCTTTTATATTTAGTCCTTCAATCCATTTTGAGTTAAATTTTGTATATATCAGTAGCATGAGGAAGTCCAGGTGTCTTAGCACCATTTGTTAAAAAGATTCAGCTCTCTTGGCACTCCATCAAGAATTAACTGATTGTATTTATGAACTTTCAATTCTATTCCAATCAATGATCTACATGTCTTTCCTTATGCCAGTGGAATATTTTATTACTGCAGCTCTGTTCTAACTTGCAATCAGTAATCCTCTAACTTTGCTCTTCCTTTTTCAAAGTTATTCTAGCTATTCTGGTTCTCTTGATTTTCCACATTGATTTTAGCATCAGCTTGTCAATTTCTGCAAAGAAGCCAGCTAGGTTTTTCCTAGATAGGGGCTGTATATATAGATCAGTGTGGATCCATCTTAACAATATTAAGTTTTCTGATTCATGACATGGAGTATCATGTCATGAATTTACTTAGGTCTTCTTTAATTTCTTTTAACAATATTGTTTACTTTCAGAATATAAGTGTTTTGGTTAAATTTATTTCTAAGTATTTTACTCTTTTTGTACTAGTATAAATGGAATTAACTTCATTTTGGTTGTTCAATACAAAAAAATAGAAATGCAATTGATTTTGTATATCAACCCTGCAACTTGGTTCAGTTCATCAATCCCATGAGGCTTTTTTTTTTTTTTGAAGATTCCTTAGTATTTTCTGTACACAAAATCATGCCATCTGCAAATAAAAAGTTTTAATTTTTCCTTTCTAATCTGAATGTCTTTTATTTCATTTCCTTGCACAACTGCCCTGACCAGAACCTCCCTTACTATATTGAAAAGAAGTGACAACAACAAACACCCTTGCCTTTCTCCTGATGGGGGAGTGTAGGTGGGGAGGGGAGAAGTGGGGGAGGGGTGGGTGGAACTCTCAGCCTTTCACAATTAAGTATGACATTAGCTGGGGTTTTCATAGATGAAAACCTGATCCTTTATCAGGCAGAGGAAGTTCCATTTCTTTTGTTAAGTGTTTTTATTAGGATAGCCTTTTGTCAAATACTTTTCTATATCAACACCATCAATTTTGCCTTCATTCTAGTAATATGGTACATCACCATCTTTCAAATATTAAACCAAACTTTAACTCTTAGGATACTTGCATTTGATCATTTTTATATGTTGCTGAATTTGGTTTGCTAGTATTTTGTTGATGTTTTTATATTTGCATTCATAAAAGCTACTAGCCAGTAGATTTCTTATAGAATCTGATTATGGTGTCAGGATAATGCTGGTCTCAAAAAATGAGTTGATCAATATCCTGCCTCTTTTTTTTTTTTTTTTAAGTTTGAGAAGAATTGATATTCAGAGAATTTGCCAATGAATCCATCTGAGCCCGAGCTTTTCTTGGTGAATTATTTTTATTACCAACTCACTCTCTGTTCTTGTTATAGGTCTGTACAGATGTTTTGTTTCTTCATCTATTGTTTTTATCAATCATTTATGATATGGTAAGCTTGCTGTTGCTTTTGCACAGGTGGTACCTTGCATTCCCAAATGCTGAAGGTTTTGACTTAAACTACAACTGCTATATTGCTGAGGCACTGAAGTTATGTGACTGAATACTGTCCTGATTTCAGAAAGCCATATGATGAACTCATATGCTGAACTTCCTCATTTCCTTCTCACATGCATTACTTGTTGCTAGTCACTGCCCCGTATTTCCTCATGAAGGCATGTAGGAAATAAGTTGAGTCAACAGGGCCACATATACTCTGGTGACAAAGAAATAAGATATGAAAAATGTTTTTACCATTACTTTGAGGGATTGGATCAACTGTTCCACACCCCCTCTTGCTGGTACTTATCCAGCATATCTACACACATTTGCAAGTGCTTTAAAAGCACCATATCTGTCACTCTCTCTTTATATGCTCAAAATATTAAGGCAGAATAATGAGATTGCAGTCTCTGTAGTCAAACTTACTATCTATGTGTGTCACTGACAAGTTTTTTTTTTTAACATTTCTGCACCATGTCAGGGGATAATAACAGTACCTGTCCATCAGATTGTTATAATAAGTAAATAATATATGCAAGAGTGCTTGAAACAATACCTGGCTCCCTATGTAGGATATCAAAGTAAACTACGACACTAACAAAACATCTCTGATTTTACCCTCTAAGATTACTGTCCAGGTTGTTGGGAATCAGAAAGAAGCCTATTTTCTATATTCTCTGCACTGAGTATTAGCTCTAATAAATGAAATTACTTAAGAAATCACCTAAAATAATAAGCAACTCCATTTCCAAGGAAATCATCTGGCAGAATAAACAGTGACTAGGAGGTGGTAATGCACCATAATTTTAAAAGCACAGCCTCTAGAATCAGATGAATCTGTATTCAAATTTAGTTCTACCCAGTAGCCTGGCTATTTCCTCAAAGAACATACTTAACTTTTTTTTTTTAAGATTTATTTATTTATACATACAGAACTGGGGTACAGACCAGAGGTGCAAGGGTGGCGAGAGGATTCACCAGAGACAGAGTGGGGAGCAGAACAGGCTGACTGACGAAGTACACTGCTGAGGGGAGCAGCGGGCGGGACAGGAGAGGTCTGCCGGGCCATGTGGATCACCTGGGGGGTGGGGGATCGAGCTCATGCTGAAGTGGCTTTAGCTTCTTAGTGCTGTGCTTTAACCCGCTGCGCCACCAGGGAGGGCGCAGAATATACTTAACTTTTAAAGCACCTCTTTTAAAGCACCCATTGGTAAAATGGGAAAAATAATACTGAATATAAGGGATTTAACAAGGATTAAGTAAAGTACTTGACACATAATCACTACCTAATGTATAGAAATTGCTTTTAATCATTTTTTAAACTTTATTTTTAATAAGCAAATTCAGTAAATAAATAAGGAAGCGAGAACCTGACATGGACCAAGCTCTCAATCCTTGCCACACATGTGAATCATCTGGAGAGCGTTGAAAAAGCGCTGTCACCTAGATTGCACCTAAGACAGACAGCATCAGAATGTCTGGGGTTCTCCATATCAGTATTTTTAAATGCTCTCTAGATAATTTCAACAGTACAGTTGGGAGTGAGAAACATAATAGCTAGACAGAAAACAAATCCCAATTTTTATCATCTAAAACTAAAAGGATTTAAAAATTCACATCTACTCTCCTTATAAAGTAAGCCCATCAGACCTGCCTTCTCAGATCAGAATTACTACTATCTGATGGTAGACTAGAAGCTCAGAGAGCTTGAATAATTTATTTCTGGGGGGAAAAAACAGAGTCAGGTTGAAAACTCTAGTCAAGACCTAAAGCCCACACCTCTTCTTCAGAAGCATTTCCTCAGTCTGACTACAAATTCAGTCATGACGCTCTGCTCACTAAAATCCTTTAACATACTTACACCCTGAGAGCCTGTAAGCCCAGACTCCGTCGTGGGAAGGCTACCCTCCAGAGCCCCACGACGTGCCTGCGAGGCTGCGTGACCTACTTCAGACTGCTCTGGTGCTGGTCTGAATCGCCAAACCACCACTACCTGAGGGGACACTGCTCAATCTCAGTGGCCAGCTGATTTGCCCAAGAGGGAACAAAGTTAATACGAAAGGAGAACGGTGGCTCCCATATTACAGCTCCAGTGGAACTGTCCCTTCCCGGAAGACGTCTTCCCCAACCACCACTGCTGCCACTGCCCCACAGTAGTTTAGACGCTCCTGTGAGTCCTCCTATAGCACCCGATGGTCCTTCCCTCACCACTTGCACATTGGTGCTGAGAGCTAGCCTATTTGGTTTTGCTCACTGATTCCCAAGGCCTAGCACCTAGAAAGCACTTGAAGAAAAGACCAGAAACAACATGGAGAAGAAACTCGGTCCATGACTGACCACAAAAGGTTAATGCCCCTACCCCAGGTCTCACCTTCTATGTCCTCCAAGGTGAACTCTGTAAGATAAAAACTGTTGAGTGTGGGTACTGTATATAGATGGTGATCTGCTCTGCTAACTTTTTATATGTTTGAACTATTATAAATTCATTAAAACTTTTTGGGGAAAAAGTAAAGTGAGTTCTGCCTCCAGAACTAAACCTGCCTATCATGATAAACAGTATTGCTGTAGTATGCCCAGTATCAGCTTGAATCATTCCCTCACCATCTGGTGGCAGAGTGACCAGGCAGAGAGGGCACACACCTATTGCCAATATAAAAAAGTACTAAGGAACTCGCAGGGTCAGCTAACAAAAAAAACAAGACGTTTCACTAACAATTACATTCCAGGTGCCAACAAAATCCTGGGGTTTCATCCCTTCTATGGTCTCTCCTAGAGGAGAGGAGAACTGCTGTCCAGGTCCACGAAAAGGAAGAAGTAAAAGATGGTAGAAAGGGTAAGGAAGCTGTGGAAGAGGACAGCAGTGATACATTAAATTAGGGGAACTGAGTAATACAAATTCACTACTCCAGCACTGGCCTAGCAGCCAAATCACCAGGCAGGCACATTCAATGCCAGTGACTACCTAATGTGCACAAGACAGGACACTGCTAACACTAAAGAAAAAGTCCCAACTCATGACAGCCTTCCCACAGGACTCTTGTACCACAAGTAATTCTCTCTAGAAAAAAAACCCTGACAAGGAATTAACTTTTGAAGTTGGACAGATGAATAAAATTGAACCAAATCCCTTTCTTTCTGTCCCCTCTGTCCATCATGAACATTTCAGAGGCAAAGAGCTGTGATATCAGTAGAGCTGACCTAAACTCTGACACTTGCCATTACCTCTTGCTGCTTCTCCTCATTGGGATAGGTGTCTACAAATACTCCCAGCCCCACAAATTTGTCCATGTTTCCAAACACAGGCCCTAGAGAGAGAGAACAGATGATGAACAATGAAATAAAGCCAAGAGTTGACAAAGGAATAATACATCACTATGATGGAGGAAAAAGTGAAAATCTAATCACTCCCAGGCCTATCTTCAGATGAGAAAACATATATAAAAGCCTGTATGGCCTGTGGTAAGCACCCAAAAAATATCTGTGGCTGTTTGTTACTGAAGCAGGGGAAAGAGAAGGCCCTGCAATCGTGTTTAGCACTACAGCTGCTCTCTGGTCCAAACTGGTTGCTAAGGCGCCCCTAAAGAATTATGCTTCACAAACACTTAGTGATGACTGTGCTCCTGAGAGAGAAGTGAATTCCCAAGTTCTACCTTTTGTTGCAAAAGAGATCAGGTCAAATCAGGTTGAGTCTGCCATCTACTTGGAGCCATGGCGTGTACACAAGGAAAGCTAGCTCACTCTTCTGCTCAGGAGTGCTGAGGCTGTTCACTGTGCACTCTCAGAAGAATCAGTTGACCCACTCCTTAGTGTCCAGGAGAGCCAGTGCTTTCACCCAGCTAGTAGGCCACGGGGCTTCACAGGGAAACCGAAAGGAACTAAATAGCAAGACGTCACCCTGGGATGAGTCAAGTTCCATTGCTTATTAGGATTCAGACCCCTTTCTAGAACTAGACAGGCCAGTCTCCATCCATAGATATCAAGGGAGGGGGATCACTGTAGGGACATACATTGCTCAAAGAGAGGGGACATGGAAAAGTAGGCCTGCCACACTTCACACAATAACAACCCAGGGTCCCAGTACCTGGCTGCATCCGGTCCTTTGTATACCAGATTGCCAAGCCATCCCCATGCAGATTCTTCTTCCCTTGTCCATGGATTTTGAAGTGTACCTGCAACTCCCAGTCTCTCAGGAAACATGGCTAAAGTGAAAAAGACACTGGAATCAATGAGGAGCATGAAATGCAAAACCCCTCAAGCCCTCACAAGCAGTTTACAGATTTGGAAAACATAAATACAGGTAACACAAAGGTAGGGGTTAAAACTGAAATGTAAGACTTGCTAAGTATCTGTCATAAAATTAGATTGAGTCATTCAGTAGTATATGAGATTTAATAAGAAAAATAAGCAAACCTCCCAATTATTTTTAACATTTCCCAGTAGAAACAGGCAGAACAGTGTTCCAAAGTTGGAAAAGACAAGAGAATGCCAAGTAAGACTACTGTGATGTTGTACCACCACCCAGCAAAGAACTGCAGCCTGCAGAGTACAGGATGCTGAATTAACACTATTTGTGACTTAAAATCATCCCTCTGACAGAAAGCCTCTAAAAAGCTTGGATTTAAAAAAATGTCAAAGCTTCATTCAATATAAAAGAATAAAAAAAGCTAAGTTATTAGGCAAAGGTTTCCAGGAACAATTAGTAGATGCTATAAACAACTCTAATTAGCTACACTTGGCCCTTGGCCACCCCGAGGGGCAAGCTGGAGTTCCCATGAGAAGCTGTAAGTCAGTCTCCAAAATCTCATGCTCATGGCCAAGAAGCATAAAGAAAGCAAAGGAGACCACTGTCCCCACCACAGGACAGCCTCCGGTGGGTGGGAAAACTCTAAAGAAGAGGGTACAATTTAGTCTTCTTTTTCCCTTTTGGAAATGTGTATTAAAACCTCAGAAAACTGGAGGGAGGAGCGAAGTGAATGTTTCAAGGCTCTAACTAGATGAATACACTTCCAAAAAGAAGCCTAGTAGATATTTGGTTTAGAGAGGCTCCTGGTTAAAGTTCACCATGAAGTAAGGAGGAGCAGACTTGTACAGTTCAGTCAAATACTGTCAAAACAGACTATTCTAGCACTTGAGCAACATATTGCCATAACATTTTGAGTATTCATTTATTCAGTATTTATTTAAAAAAATTCATATTTATTTATGCATACAGAACTGGGGTACAGGCCAGAGGTGCAGGGGGTGAGACAATTCATCAGAGACAGAATGGGGAACAGAACAGGCAGACTGACGAAGTACACTGCTGAGGGGAGCAGTGGGCAAGACAGAAGGCCTGCCATAACATGTGGGTCACCTCCCTGGTGGGGAATCAAACTCATGCTGCAGTGGACAACTTAGAATGCTGTGCTTAACCTCTTGAGTCACCAGGGAGGGCCCTCAGTTTTCATTATTTATTTATTTATGTATACAAGAATTGGGATACAGGCCAGAGGTACAGGGGATGAGAGGATTCACCAGAGTGGGGAACAGAACGGGCAAATGTACTGAAATACACTGCTGAAGGGGAGCAGCAGACAGGTCAGGAGAGGTCTGCCACACCATGTGGGTCACCTCCCTGGCTGGGGATTGAACTTGTGCTGCACTGGTACTGGCTGCAGACTGCTTCATAGTGCTGCACTTAAACTTGTTGCACCACCATGGAGGGCCAGTTTTCATTTTTAAGGCCTGGAAAATATTCCCAGATTTTATTAGAAGAACACAGTCAAAATGAAAGGGATACAAATACTTCTGAATTCAACAAAAACCACTGAAATCAATACCTTACTCTACTCTGATGAACCCAAGCTCCCATTTTGTTGTTCTGGGTTCTCGTCTTTCCAGACAAGAGTGAAATTCAGGGGCAGGAAGTTACCTCGCAACCAGTAGGTTGGCACTATGTCCCTTCAAAGAGGGAAGGCCTAGACAAGTTTACACAGAGCCAAAAGGTGCCTGATACTTATCCTTGGGTTGGTGTGGCATGAAGCTACAGTTTTACATAAGGCTGTGTCTAACAGTGGTTCCCAAACTTTGCTGCATGTTAAGATTCACTTGGGGAGTTTTTGAAAATCCTGTTGGCCAAGCCACAGCCCTTTCTAATCAGTATCTCTGGGGCGTCAACTCCAACGGACAACCAGATTTAAGAACCACCTACTCAAATTCATCCTATTCAAATAACTCTAGAGATCATTCTGATAGTCTGGTAACAAACAATACAGGGATTAGAGCATCTAAAAAAGGAGACTGTAACTAGATCCCAGACTGCTTTAAAAAGCTATATAACAGCTTGCAATACAGCAGCAAGATATGTATCAAGCCTTGGACTTAATCTTTTAGTAACCCATAGAATTCTATTAATGAATCTGTGACAGGTGTAATAATACAAAACATACTTCCCTGACCATTTTAATTTTCCAAAGCCTTTGTGTATCTGTTATCGTATTTCATTCTCACAATAACCCTGAAAAGGTACTACAAAGTTCATCTGACAGATAGGGAAACTAAAAACAGAAACTGCTTAGGGGTCACAGTGGATCTGTGATACAGACCAAGAACCCCAGTCTTTCAGCTCTTCTACTAGAACATGCTGCCCTGTATTCTTTCCAAGTTCAAGTTCAGTTACAATCTGGGTTAAGGGGCCAGCTTGTGGAAATAGCTCAGGTAGAAATTTCTCTTATCCCTCTGTCCTTCAGAATTCAACACATAAATGAACAGGGAAAAATAGCTCTCTTTTGTAAGGATCACTTGTATACAACTAATGATAACAACAAAGTAAAGTTCTTAGCTTATAAGAACCCATGAGAGGTATTACAGGATGACCAAAGTATCCTTCCCCAAAGTAAAGTGTCTTAAGATTTAGAAAGAGACCTGGAAACCAAAAAGGAAGCATCATCTTACACTTGTACAAAATCACAGTGCAGCCACACCAGGAATACTGCATTCACTTCTTGCCGCCATACCTCAAGGAAGACAATGTAGCTAGAAAAGTTCCAGAGAAGGACAAATAAAATGACCAAGGGCTCAAAGTGGCTTTTACATTGAAAATAAAATTACTCTTCAAAGTGAAATAACAAGGGGTTGGGGGGGGTGGAGGGAGGGTGCTGGACTGAAGTTTCGGATAAATTTAAAAGAGCTATCTTCTATTTTATAGATCAAAGTAATTACATGGGAGTAATTGTCATTAGTCTCAAAGAAGCAGTACTATCAGGTCAGTCAGGAATTAAAGACATTTCAGAAAACAGAATCATAATGAATTTTTGCTTAATTAGGGCAGTACAGAGCATTTCCCTAAATGTCTGGTTTCATTAAAAAGGTCATCATTCTATCTGAAATGAAAATCCTTGATATCCACAGAAGACAGAATACTGGCGATAGATAGTAAAATTAAGTCAATATGCCACCAGTGAACTTTTTAGAACTTTGTGGGTCACAAGCACAGGAGGGAGAAAGATTCTTACCACCCGGTTCCACAGGGCACCCTGTTTACTTTGCATATCAGGCGTTAGGCGGATATACTGGGTCATCACCATGGCATTGCCCATCAAATTCCACAATGAGGAACTGCTTGTGCCCACACCTATGGGGAGGAAGTAGATCAATTCATATTCTTCAACACCAGCCCATTCAAAAAGTTACCCCAAAACCCTGGAGCCTTCATGTTCTTCTCCCATTTCAGATCACTAGTACAATTTCCCCTGTTACTTGCAACTCTGAAATTCCTTATCATCTTTATCATTTCCTTTATCATTTCCATTTCTCAGGTGAAGACCCCACATCACATCAGACTACCCTGTATACATGCACGGTAACCGTAGCTCAGACTCATTCCTCCCATTTTCTATGTGAACAAATCACGAAACAATTTCCCAGTTATACAAAAGCGTTCACACTCAGGCACATCAGTCTTTTAATCACATTCTTTCTTAAAACAATCTTTCAAGTGTGAAATTTCTTCTCACCATACTTTTAAAGACTATATGCCCCTTGAGAGTGAGACGTCTATGTAATTCACAGTATTGGCAAAGAAACCAGAACAGAAGAGGATGCATCATCTGCTAAGTGAATAAATGATCATTTTTAGTAGCAGTGTATATACTCTTGCACTAAGTTGTTTTTCTTATGTCCCTGCCCACACTACGTTGGGAAACAGACTTAGTTTGTTAAGCTATCAACACTGATTTGATATTCTTTGTAGCTAATACATTTTGGTCCATATAGTGCTTAGGGGCCTATGAACCCTAAAGAGAGCAAAGCTAACCAGGCTTTTATGAACAGGACTCCCGGACTGAAGAAGAACAGGTGTTTAAACTGGTAAAGATTTTTTTCTTCTTTCTCAGTCCAGTCAAGTTCTACCCCCAGTGTTTCCTCCAGCTTTGTCTGTTGCAAACCCACAGCTCCATCCCAAGGCTGGCTCCTTGCTAGTGGACCTCAATCCTTGTCCATCATTCAGAGGTCTCTCCCCTTCCCACATCCCTCCTGCCCAATTCCGAGCTCTCCTCCGTCACTGGTGACATTCAGTTTCCACCTGCTGGAAACTTCCAGTGCCAAGGGGTAAGGAATGGGAGGCTGACCCCTATCCTACGAATGCGACACCCAGACGCGGCGATTCCCCGTGGGCCCCCAACCACCGCCGGCAGTTTCCTCTGGGCCACGAAACCCTTCGCTGCCCCCTGTCTCTTCAATGAGATTAAGTCCTGAAGCCCACCCCAAACACGACCACCTCGCCCCAGGCGCCTCACCCTGATAGGGCTTTGACAGCGAGTGCTCCCGTTTCAAGTACTCGAACGTTTGACCCGCCCCGACTTGCCATGGCCCCTGCCCAGATCCCAGCAAAAGAAGAAGGAGCAACATCCTGGACCCATCCTGAGTGGACAAACGCCGCCGCCACTGCCGCCACCACCCAGAGGGTCCCAGAACCGCCGCCATCTTTCCCACCGCCGTCCCTTCAATAAAAACCCGCCCCGTCGCCCAAATCATTGGCCCATCGAACCACCTGCCTCGTGTTCCATTGGTTCTCGTCAAGTCCCCGCCCCCTCAGGTAAGCATCTCATCGATTGGCTAGCTTGTATCAGTTGTCTTGCCAACCCAGGAAAGGGGTGTGGCCGAGTGCCTGAACCTTCTTTATTTGCTTTTGACCTGGGTTCCACTAGGCCTGCTGGGATACTTAGCGATTTCCTTGTCGTCTTCGTTCTAGAGTGACTTTAAAGAGAAAAAGTATTACTTCCCGTTCCACGCAGACGTCTCGTCTTCTCAGCCATTCCTTTTGACTGTGCAGAACTGTCAGTCAGGTTATCAAACTCAAAGGAGAAAAAGGCAAATGCACAATTAAAATAGCTGGAAAAGTATCACATGGACGAAAGACTGACTTGAACAGCATTCTCAAGCTACTTGACCTGATGACATTTGTAGAAATGTCACCCGACACAAAGAGGAAGACAACACTGCCTTCAAGTGTAAATGAAGCGTTTACCAAGTTAATCTGAGCCAAAAGATCATACTTGCACAAATTTAAAAGACTTGAAAGCACATGCAGATTGTTCTAACATAACAGACTTATGCTAAAAAAAAGATAGCAAATATTTCTCAGAAATTCCAAAATACTTGCAATTTAAACAACTCTCTTCTAAATAACCCATGGGAGAGTAAAAGTTTCTGGAGGGCTTCAGAGAACCTTCTGAGAAACAATAGAGAGTAATCCTGAAGATGTGTGGTCCAGGCCCAGAGCCAAAATCACATGACAGCCCTTCCAACTTCCCTCCTTTTCTTCATCAATTGCACCACCCAATCTGTAAACAATCAGGTCTTCATGATTTGGTTCCTAATTATATTTCAAAGCCATCACATCCTTTCTGTCTCTCCCTTTGTCTTTCTTCAAGACCACATCAACCTGTAGCCTAACTGGTGTGCTGACCACCATCATCCATAGGCCGATGTGATCTAAACAAAGCATGTAACCATGCTGCTTCCTGAGTGCAGCGGTTAAAGTGTCAATCTTGGCAAAGCTCTTAAGAGTAGTGCCTGGCATGTGTAAGAACTGTATCATTATCATTATTAACAGATTAACGGAGCCTTGATGTTTACCATCACCTTTGGGGTAAAGATTTAAGCCCCTCATCTTGGCACACAAAACCCTCCACCATCTGGCCTTGGTCCTTCTCTACCTTTATGCCAACAGCTCCCTTTTCCAGCTTCCCTCTCTTTTCCTCAGCTTACTTCCTCTTAGAGGCCGTCCCAGATTTCCTCAGGCCAAGGCAGAGTGAGCTCACTCTGAGCTCACTGTGTGTCCCAACTACATTTCTTACAAAAGACTTGCCAAGTCTGCATCTGAGCCCTCCCAAGGACTTACCCAAAGCATCCTCTTTCTTTTCTGAGTGTGTGTATGCCTATATATTTATGTTAATAAGATAAATGAGAATTTGAGCCTATTTTATAGAACATCAACTTTAAAAACTAAAGCTATCACACTTATTAATCTTTTGCAAACTCCACACAAGGCAGATGTTTAGTAACAAGACATTAGGTATTGCAATGAATCTACTCATGTCATGGCTTTAAACTTCTTCACAGTTCTCAATTACCATAGGATAAACTCCAAAGTCCTTAGTGTTGCATTCAAGGCCCTTTACAACCTGACTCAAATCAGGTGGTACACATGTCCACTACAATGTATGTCACTCTGAATTATGTAGCTCAATTAGCAGATTATGTGTTTGTCTCCCTAGCAAGGTTGGGAGCTGCTGGAATACAGGACATAGGTCTTACTCATTTCCTATCACAGGCTCTACCTCCTAACCCAGCACCTGGTAAGAGTTCTAATTGTTTTTGAATAAAATTCTGTCCATTTGTATTTCTCTGTTGGCCAGATTTTTTATTGTAATAAAATATAACATTTTAATCATCTTAAAGTATATAGTGCACAGGCATTAAATATATTCACATTGTTGTATGACTTGTCAGCTGGATCTTTGATAATCTCAGTAAAATTCATTAACATGAAGAAATAGAGAATAATACAGAAGGGCATAAAGGCAAAATGCACAGGACAATAAATCAGATTGTTTTGTTAGATTATTGCATTAGGGATAGCGTCATTAAGGAGGACCATATCAAAGAAAAGGGATGAGCTGGGGAGGTTAAAGGCAAAGAATAAGCAAGGGAGTCCTCAAGAGTAAGAATGGGGAAGGTCTTATCTGAGTCATTGAGGAAGGGTGGAAGTGATTCTTGTCTTGGAATATTCTAGAGTAGCATAGTCCTTTGAGGTTAGTCATATCTCAGAAGTCCAAATGGGATGAAAGGGACACAAAAGGGAGGGTCTTTCTTGACCATAGCTGCTTTCCAGAAGCACAGGGCTCAGAAAATTTTAACACTGTCAAGGTAGGGTGGGGAGGTGGAGTGAAAGAGAAAAAAGAAGTCAAGTCTCCCAACAACGACAATATTGCCCCCACCCCATGTGTGTATGCCCACTCAGGCACCCTCTGAAAGCTGAATCAGGTCTGAACCTACCGTTCCTTCAGCTCCCTAATATTCTTTTTCTTCATGGAATCATTCCCCATGATAATTCCCCCATGATAAATCCACATACAATGTGATCTGCGCTTTCCAGCAGTTCTGGGTGACTCTTCTACTTTCCCACCTTCAAAATAAAACAGGTACCTCCACTTAGGAGGACCTTGATGCCTGACGCTTCCACACCCTCATGACAACACACCACAAGGCAGCATCTTAACACCATCCTTTCTTTTCCCTCCTTCCATTCACCTCTTTGCTATTCCCTTTAAATCACCACCACCCCATACCGAGGACCCAAAGCAGGACCTAACATCACTTCTCCCAAAGCCAAGAAGACCATTCCTCCCCCTTCAGGGATCCACCTGTGTATCAGGTCAGGTCCATTTTCAGTCCTGACATCTCAGCTGATGGAGTCCCATCTTCCTGCACTCCCGGCTCTCCAAGCATATCCTGGCATAAAGAAGAAAACAGTAACTCTAACACCAACTAGCCAACTATGTTCCAGATTGATTTACAAATTCTGGTCTCCCCAAAAGCCACAATTAAATGGCCTGGAGTGCTTTTGGCACACACAGATGCCTGAGTCCCACTTCAGACACTTGATTCATAGGTCTGAGGTAGGATCCAGGGGTTTGATTTGGAAAATATCCTTTCCTTCTGCACCAGAGAATTTATCTGCAGTCCATTATCAAAAACACTGTCTTTTCACATCCAGTATCTCATTTCAACCTCACAGTCACCTGGTGTGGTGAAGATCAGGACATTTTTTATTCAGTTGATAGAGTAAATTTCAAACAGACTACAGTATACATGACTTTAGCAGTTAGAGATTTGCTTTAAAATACTCTTTTCTGTGTATGTGTGTGTTGGAGGAAGAGTGAGATAGATGAAATTCGTAGCAGGATGTTGGTAATTTCAAAGCTGGGTTATGGGTACATTGGAATTCCCTCAGGTTTTATGTGTGTTTGAGAGTTGCCATAATAAAAAGCTTTTAAGAATCTCCCTTGGAGATGATTAGGAAATGTGCTGGGTATGCATTTGTGGTGTTTTCTAAGTTTCCTCCAGGGAATGAAAACTGTAATTAACTATAATCTAGTAAACTTCATTGTGAACCATCTTGTATAATGTTGTCATGACTAAAAACAAAGGAGTCTGTAATCTAGAAAAAGGACAGTCAAGGGAGAAAAAAATTCAGAGTGCATCATCTCTGTCCAGGGAAAGGGCATCTGTAAGTAACTTGTGTTAGTTACTCAAACTTAGTCTACTCTTCTGACAGATTCATAACGACTTTACACTAGTATTATAACCCTTTCAGCTGTTTATTCAGTATAAATTGGGAAATTAGTTTTTTGGGCCATCACTTATTCCTTAGCCAGTATTGCTTACCCTACTCATCTGTTTCTCCATCAGTGAATCAATAAAAATTCCCTGCAGACATCCCAAGGCAGGCTTGTCACAGAGTTGGGGCATCTCCCAGATTGCAGACTGGGGACTAGCAGGAGAGAACTCTGGCATGTACCAATTGGAACAAAAACATCTCTGCTTTTTTGAGACAGAGCTCTATTACATGACCTTGGGAAATTATGTAATCTCTCTAAGCTTCAGTTCTCCATCTGTAAATTGATTGTGATGAAACCTATCACACTTGACAGATGAGATGAAAAAAAAGAAAATATGTGTGAAGGATGCATATGCTCATTGTAGATGCTTAAGAGCTCTCTAAGTCTACAGATTATTTTAGTTAGCTTTGTTGTGGCTTGTCTACTGTGTTCTGGGAAAGTGGGTTTTGTCCTTTTGGAAGAAAATACAGCTGTCAGAAGTAGTTTGTTTTTTTTTTTAAGATTTATTTATTTCAGGGGCCTTCCCTGATGGCGCAGCAAGTTAAAGCACAGCACTAAGAAGCTAAACCCAATTTAGCATGAGTTCAATCCCCACCCCAGAGGTGACCCACGTGGCATGACAGACCTCTCCTGACCCGGGCTGCTCCCCTCAGCAGTTCTTCACGTTCTGCTCCCCGCTCTGTCTCTGGTGAATCCTCTCACTCACCTGTGCCTCTGGCCTGTACGCCAGTTCTGTATGCATAAATAAATAAATCTGCATAAATAAATAAATCTTTTTAAAAAGATAGAAGAACATAGGATGCATAGAAGAACAGGATGCAGGAGGTGAGAAGACAAGCAGATTTACTGAAATACACTGCAAAGGGGAGCAGCAGGCGAGACAGGAGGGGTCAGCTGCACCATTGGTGGGTCAGCTCCAGGCCAGGGATTGAACTCAGGCTACAGCAGTAATAGCACTGAGATTTAACCCTTGTGCCATCAGGGAGGCCTGAAGTAAGTTTATAAATGAAGTAGAAGCCCCCATATGATCTGGAAATACTGCTCAGGGACCTGGGATGCAGAGTGGAAGTGTCTAATGTGCAAGTTCTGTCACTGGGGTTTATAATTAGAAGTGTAACAAGCT